AGAAAGTTCATTGGTTTTTATTGTACTTTTCCCTATTTATATTTAATACACCAATTTATATAAAAACACCCTGAACTTAGTGATAAGTGCTCTGCTACCCTCTAGGAATTAGCAAATGTGAGACGCAGTCCTCATGCCCTTCAACTTCTTGATTATGTACTTTACAGTCCTTTAACTTCATAATCTTGCATAAAATAACCAAAAGTTAAGATTGGATATTATGGCTATATTTCAACATCATCCCTCAATCTTGACTTTTGAATAAATCGATTATCTTAAGTTTTGAACAAGAAAATTATGATGAGTTACATTGAGAGATTTGGTGAAACTACCAACGGGTTGTTCGAAAGAAATTATTTTAACTATTTTTAACAACCCTTTACTAATGTTTTCACGAATTTGGTGAACATCAATTTCAATATGCTTTGTGCATTCATGAAAAATGAGATTGTTAGCAATTTGTATAGAAGATTTATTATCACAATATAGATTTACAGGAAGTAAATCCTTTATGCTTAAATCTAACAAAATTTTAAGAATCCAGATTACTTCACATGTTTGTAGTCGTCATGACTCTATATTCTGATTCAGTAGCAGAACGAGAAACAATATTTTGTTTCTTGATTTTCCACGAAACCATGGAATTTCCAAGAAAAATACAGAAACCAATGACAGGCCTTTTAGAGCAGAGACACTTACCCCAATCAGCATCAACAAAGGCAGAAAGAGAAAAAATTTCAGACCTGGTAAAGCTAACTCCTTTGCCAAGAGATAACTTCAAATATCTAAGAATCCTAAGAGCAAGATTTAAATGAGATTGTCTAGGAGCATGCATGAATTGACTTAAACAATGAACAACAAAAACAATATCAGGTCTAGTAGCTAACAAGTAAATCTACCTACCAATTAACTTTTGAAAACCAGTATAATCAGAAAGTTTTGTTGATTCAAGTTTAGCATGATTATTCATTTAAAAGTAATTGAAATATATATATATATATATAAAGTAATTTCGTAAATGTAGAAAAATCCTCTATTTCTCAGTATGGATCTCCTTTTTTAGATGGGGTTGGGATGGGAACGAAAATTAATTCCTCAACAGGAACGGGACCGGGGGTGAGGACTGTAAATCGAGAATTGGGATCCCTGGTATTCTGAACCCCGTTATCATCTCTACCTACAAAAATTAAAATATCTATACAATATTATACATAATTTGATATATAAAAAACTCTTAAAAACCATTTTTTATGCATAAAGTATTGTTTATTGATGCATTTTACTTAAAATTCAAGATTACAAGTAAATTGTGCATAAGTACAACTTATTAAAGCTCCAAGTTTGAATTCGTGTAACTAACTATCAGATAAACATAATCAAATTCATGATAAACATTTTATTTTTAAATATAAAATAAAATTAGAATAATCATTGAGTGTTCTAACAGAATACTTAATTATTATCTTTATAAACAATTATATTATTAAATATAAATTAAATTACTTCGTTACGTAAAATTAAATAAAAAATAAACATTTCATTTTAAATATAAAAAATTTAAAATATAAYAAGGATAATTATTGAGTTATAACAAAATACTTAATTATTATCTTTATAAAATATATTTAACAATCAAAAATAAATTACTTTGTTATTAATCTTAAACTAAATTATAATAAAAAAAAATCACACAAAAGAACAAGAACTTTTAAATAGTTAATTTGATACTAATTTCAATATATATTTTTTTCAAAGTTTCATGATATCTTAAAATGTATTTTTATTCAAAAATAAAAACATTATCGTTTTCTTAAAACCACATAAACCGTATTATAACATCGATTGAGACAAACAATAAAACAAAATATTAAAATCAAGATGTATCTCGTTGTATTACGCAAGTACCCTTCTAGTTAATATCTAAAATATACTTTTTTTGGCAATTTTTTAGTTTTAATGATGATTTCACTTATTGTGACTTAATCTTTAAGATGGTTTTAATGATAAAGTCATGAGTGGTTGTATGGTGGAGAGATAATGTAAATAATCACGTTGGGGCTCAAGTGGTGGTATGACCTTTTTAGCTTTGGAATCATAAATTAAAATAGTCATTTAGAATAATGTTTGCGTAATGCAGCGAGACACATCTCGATTTTAATGTTTTATTTTATTATTTGTCTTTGTCGATGTTATAATACGATTTTATGTGTTTTTAAGAAAGCAATAATGATTTTATTTTTGAATAAAATATAAATTTGAAGATATCATAAAATTTTGAAAAAATATATATCAATGTTAATATCAAATCAACTATTTAAAAGTTCTCATTTTTTATGTAATTTCTTTAATTTATTTTTTAATTATAATTTAATTTAAATTTAGTAACGAAATAATTTATTTTTTGTTTAATAATATAACATTTTATAAAGATAATAATTAAGTATTCTATTAGAACTCAATGATTATCCTAGTTATATTTTAGATTTTTTATATTTAAAATAAGATATTTATCTTGTACTTGATTATGTTTATCTGCAGTTAGTTACACGAATTCAGATATGAAGCTTTAATAAGTTAAACTTACGCATAATCTACTTGTAATCTTGAGTTTTAAATAATATGCATTAATAAACAGTATTTTACGCATAAAAAGTGGTTTTTAAGAATTTTTGTCAAATGCTTTATAATATAGTATAGAATGAAATAATTTATTTTTTGCTTTAATAAAATAACATTTTATAAAGATAATAATTAAGTATTCTGTTAGAACTCAATGATTATCCTAGTTATATTTTAGATTTTTTATATTTAAAATAAGATATTTATCTTGTATTTGATTATGTTTATCTGCAGTTAGTTACACGAATTCAGATATGAAGCTTTAATAAGTTGAACTTACGCACAATATACTTGTAATCTTGAGTTTTAAGTAATATGCATTAATAAACAGTACTTTACGTATAAAAAGTGGTTTTTAAGAGTTTTTATCAAATGCTTTATAATATAGTATAGATAAAAAAAATTCAAATTTTCAATTGATATAACAAACTTTCTAAATCTCTATTCAGAGAATAATGGGTCGTTTACCAAAATGTTTATCCGGTAAGTGCTTACCAATAGGAGTCAACACTATAATTTATTTTGATGCGTAAGATTTTAGTACATCAAAACATATCGAATGCAACAATTTACTAGGTAAGCACTTACCTGGGTAAGAGTCGTCATCTTCACTTACCGGGTAAGATTTTTCATCCTTCTCATCGCACTTACCCAGTAAGATTCTTGGCCCTTCTCATGTTCATCCGATGAGGAAATTTATGCGTTAAGCACTTACCAAGTAAGTGTTTAGTAAACGACCCCTAAATTAACTATTAAACTTATAAATTTTAGAAAACTTGTTATATTAATTGATATTTTGATTAATCGTTACATCTATACTATATTATAAAGCATTTGACAAAAACTCTTAAAAACCATTTTTTATGTATGAAGTACTGTATATTGATGCATATTACTTAAAATTCAAAATTACAAGTAAATTATGCATAAATACAACTTATTAAAGCTCTATGTTTGAATTTGTGTAACTAACTGCGGATAAACATAATCAAATAAAAGATAAGTATTTCATTTTAAAATATAAAACTAAAATATAATTATGATAATTATCGAGTTCTAACAAAATAATTGATTATTAATTTATAAGAAATTATATTCATAAACCAAATATAAATTATTTCGTTATTGAATCTAAATTAAATTATAATAAAAATTGAATTAAAAAATTACACAAAAAATAGGAATTTTAAATAGTTAATTTGATACTAATATCGATATATTTTTGTCAAAATTTTATGATATCTTCAAATTTATATTTTATTCAAAAATAAATACATCATCGTTTTTTCAAAAATCACATAAGACTGTATTATAACATCGACTAAGATAAAGAATACAATGAAATATTAAAATCAAAATGTGTCTTGCTATATTGTACAAGTACCCTCCTAATATATTATAAATAGATGCAAAGTTTGTTACATTTTCACATATTTAGCTCTAAAAAATTGAAGCGTTAATTTGAAGAGTGGGAATGGAAAAGTGGGGAAGTTTTTGAGACGGTTAATGTTGAAACAGAAATCTTGATCAAAAACTCGTTAAACTCTCTAATTAGCAGGACTTAAAGTTGTTTGTGGTTACGTCTTTATGCTTTTATTTCAATTGATATATTTTTATATATAAGTAAGGGTCCGTTTACCCAATTCACGGCTCCCGCCACATTATGCGGGTTTATATTATATATATATATATATATAT